CTTACAGACAGGCTTACATGCACCACAGAGTGCCCTCAGACCGCTTCCTCAGCTACCCCCCCCTCTCCCCTGGGGGCTGCGGGGGTGCCCAGGGGGAGGGGGGGGAGGGCGAGAGGTGAAGAACGAAGGGAATATATGAGAAGAGAAGGCTGGGGCTGGAGCGAGCGAGATGGTGGACGAGTTGAACAGGAAGCCCAAGAAACCATAGGAGGCTGACGTATATCTGAGGCCCCTCTCTCCGAGCCTCTCTCCTGCGTGTGCGTGGTCCACGCCCGCGCCACGTCGCGTAGACAATCCCAAAGTCTAGGTGTCAGCAACTTCGTGTGGGCTGCGTACTTCAGCTCCGCATGGAAGAGGATTCGAAATTTCTCTGTTGTCAGATCCAAATCACTCGAGGTCTCATCCAACAGTTCGAGAGCGATAGATTGCCGATGGTCACAAGGTACGTCCACAGGCATGTAGATTAACCACATAAGTCTGCGAGGCCATGCCGCGCAGGTGAGAACAATTCGATGGTAGTAGTTCGTTGCAAGCTCTACGACACAAGTTACTGCGAGCACAACCCATGAATCCACATGCACATCGATTCCCCCACACATGAGATCGTAGGACCGAGGATCGAACATGAACTCCCACTCTGGCCGATCAAGTAACTGATCGAACTGGTGATCTATCTCACCTGCCATCTCAGTGACAAGCTCGAGCATGTCTGGCTTCTGTGACCTTTTGGCCTCGTCCTTTCGATTCTGTTTTTTTCTCTTGCCAACGCTCTAGATGGGTTATTGGCTCCCTGGAAAGATTTCCCAACCGAAGGCCGAGCCAGAACTCGTTCGAATCCAAGGAGGTGAGCACGTCCTGCCTCCACTGACCCAGCTTCTTCCTGCATGTCTCGATATCGTCGTCGCTGCCAGCGCCATCATCAGCATCAGCATCGGTTCGGCGACGGCTGGATTTGCCAGCGACGGCGACACGCATTGCCGAAGGCAGATCGTACTTCCAACAAGAGAGGATGTGATCTTCCAAATTGGTGATCGACGACCATCTGCCCCTCAGCGCCCTAGGGGGGAGTCTTTTCAATGCCTCGTCTGAGCAAGCCTGACAATCATTTTTCGTGAGCTCATCATAGACCCTTGCAGCCATCCCCCCCTCCGAGCGCCAAACATTCGCCGCCTTGGCCGTGCTGCCGAAGTGCTTGATCGAGTCCAGCCGATCAATTTGACGTTTCACCTCCCATCTCCCTCCCTCTACTCAAACGTGACTCAACGTACACGCGTGCACGTGGTGCAAGAGCGATTGCATTCTTGTGCCGGAGAGATGCGATACACGCAAAGTTACGCAGTGTTTTCTGAATGCGTATGGCATGATTGATTGGCTGGCAGGCTGATTGCCTCAATGCTGCGTGCTTGTAAGTTCTTGACACAGACGAATGACGAATGCATGGGACAGAATGGACAGAACGATGGGACAAAGATGGCACATAGGTACAGCACAAGGCAGGCACATAATAGAATTGATATAAAGATATGGAGCATACAAACATAGAGGTGTGGAGAAGATAGAATACAACACGACTGCAAGCAAACGTACAAAGGTGATTGCAGTTCTGTGATCGCTCTCAGCACCCCACCCCAATCCCCCGTCACGCAGAGATGAAGTTGATGCCGAATGCACCATGCACGCAACATGAGTGTATAAAATTGATCGGCAATGTCGTCGCGAATGAGACGGTCCGCCTTCGCCTGGTCTGGGCCATTGTCGGATGAGAAGATAAAGAACCGAATCTGAATAACAGAATCAACGTCCTCTGGCTGCACGTCGCTCGGCTTCGGATGGGAAAGCCAGGATGACATATCCAACCACGTCTGCAACCCGATGCTTCTGCATTGTTTCAGATACATCGCGCGACACTCCAGCCCGCCAGAATGAGAAGGGATTTTCATGAGATCTGCCCAGCATTCCTGTGAAGCGGAGACCATCCTATCTTCAGCATCCTGCCAAGGAAAGTAAAAGTGATTGTACCAACTGCAGACTCTGCAAGTGTGAGCTTTGAAATTCTTGACGGCCGTATTCGTGGCGTCGCCACTTCTGTTGTGAATCTCGAAACTGAATAACTTGATTGTTGATCCATCTTCCAATTCCTCTGGCGTCTGACGTCCGCTAAGCACTGCGTCAGTAGCATCGGCAAGCCCACTCCGAATTCTGAGTGAATGATATCCGTACCACTCCTGAGATCGAAGTATCAGACACTTGGCCAAACGCAACTCCCAACGAGTAACTGCATCCTTCCCAGCACGACGATTGAATTGATTATGGGTGCACTTCCCTCCCGTGTGCCCGTTGTTTCTTCGAGCCGCAAGCGAATACCCTCCACGCAAAGAAAGTTGCGGCCGTTGGCCGTCCTTACGTCGTTCGCATTGTTTCTCCATTGTGATGCGTTCTGCGAACTTCTTATGCTGCTCCGATTCAGATGTGAGCTTTGCCTTATGTTTAGTTGCAGTCT